GGCAAGTAAACTATCAGATATTGAGTTCAAAACTACAGTTCTAAGGAAGCTCAATGAGCTCAGTGAGCTCAGAGAGAATTACAAAAAACTACAGGGAAACTATGAGGAACTTACTGCAAACTATATCAGCACGAAAAAGGACATAGAAACTATCAATGAGAGACAAGAGGAAATGAAGAATACAGTTTCTGAATTGAAGAACACAATAGAAGGAATCAAAAGCAGGCTAGATGAAGCAGAGGAACAAATCAGCGAGCTGTAGTTTTTTCATATATGATCTTTATTATGTTGGGGTGTGCTCCCTTTATTCCCACTTTGATGAGTGTTTTTATCATAAATCGATGCTGTATCTTATCAAATGCTTTTTCTGCATATATTGATATGATCATTTTTTTCTTTCCTTTTCTTTATGTGATATATTATGTTTCCACCAAACCAGCACTGCAAGATATGCTAAAGGGACTGCTTTAAGAAGATGAAGAAAAAGAATGAGAAGGAGAGGATCACAGGTACAAAGGGAAAAAATGAATAAGTACCTATCAATAACTTTAAATGTAAATGAATTAAATGCTCGAATCAAAAGACATAGGGTAGCTGAATGGATAAGAAAACATGACCCACACATATGCTGCCTACAAGAGACTCACCTCAGAACAAAGGACCTACACAGACTGAAAGGGATGGAAAAAAATATTCCAAGCAAATGGACAGGAAAAAACAAAACAAAAAAGGGGTAGCACTACTTATATCAGACAAAATAGATTTCAAAACAAAGACCATAAAAAGAGACACAGAAAAACACTTCATAATACTCGAGGAAGACTCCATTAAGAAGACATAATATTGTCAACCTATATGTACCCAACATAGGAGCATCTAAATATATAAGGAAAATCTTGGAGGACCTCAAGAAAGCTATAGACAGAAACACACTAAGTGTAGGGGATTTTAACATCCCACTGTCAGCAATGGATAGATCTTCCAAACAAAACATCAACAAGGATATTGTGGAACTGAATAATGGATTAGATCAGATGGATTTAACTGACATATATAGAACCTTTCATCCCAAAGAAGCAAAATACACATTCTTTTCAAATGCACATGGAACATTTTCAAAGATAGACTGTATGATACAACACAAAACAAACCTCAGAAAATTCAAGAAAATAGAAATCATAACAAGCATTTTCTCAGACCACAGGGGCTAGAAACTAGAAACCAACCTCAAGGAAAAAACTCAAAAACTCATGGAGACTGAATAGCACGCTATTAAACAATGAATGCATAAATAATGAGATCAAAGAAGAAATCAAAAAGTTTCTGGAAACAGAGGACAATGAACACACAACAGTCCAAAACCTATGGGACACAGCAAAGGCCACCCTGAGAGGGAACTTCATAGCAACACAGACATACTTAAAAAAGATAGAAACATTTCAAATGAATGACCTAACCCTACAGCTTTAAGAATTGGAGAAACAACAACAAACAAAGCTCAGAGCGAGTAGAAGGAAGGAAATAATCAAGATTGGAGCAGAACTGAATGACATAGAGACTAAAGGAACAATTCAAAGGATCAATAAATCCAGGATCTGGTTCTTTGAAAAGAAAAACAAAATCGACAAGCCTTTAGGCAGACTCATCAAGAAAAAAAGGGAGAGGACCCAAATAAATAATATCAGAAATGAAAGAGGAGAAATAACAACTGATAACACAGAAACAAAAAGGATTGTAAGAAATTACTACAAACAACTATATGCCAAGAAGTTTGAAAACCTCAATGAAATGGAAAAATTTCTAGAAAAATATAACCTTCCAACACTGAATGAAGAAGAAGCAGAGAGCCTGAACAGACTGATAACAGGTGGTAAAATTGAAGCAGTAATCATAAAACTCCTGGCACAAAAAAGCCCTGGACCGAACAGTTTCACAAAAGAATTTTACAGAACATTTAAGGAAGAGCTAACCCCTGTTCTTCTCAGACTAGTCCAAAAAATCCAAGAAGAGGAACAACTTCCAAACTCTTTTCATGAGGACAGCATCATCCTAATCACAAAACCTGATAAAGACACAACAACTACAGGCCAATATCGCTGATGGACATAGATGCTAAAATCCCCAACAAAATATTGGCAAACCACATAGAGCAATATATTAAAAATATCATCTACCATGATCAAGTGGGATTCATTCCAGGGATGCAAGGATGATACAATATTCAGAAATCAATAAATATAATATATCACATAAAGAAAAGGAAAGACAAAAACCATATGATCTTATCAATAGATGCAGCAAAAGCATTTGATAAGGTACAGCACTGATTTATGATAAAAACACTCATCAAAGTGGGAATAAAGGGGACATACCTCAACATAATAAAGGCCATATATGAAAAACCTACAGCTGACATCATACTCAATGGGCAAAAACTAAAAGCTTTCCCACTAAGATCGGGAACATGACAAGGGTATCTGTTTTCACCACTTGTATTAAACATAGTATTAGAAGTCCTAGCCGCAGCGGTCAGACAAGAAAAAGAAATAAAAGGCATCCAAATTGGAAAGGAGGAAGTAAAACTGTCATTGTTTGCAGATGACATGATATAATGTACATAGAAAACCCTATAGACTCCACCAAAAAACTACTCGACCTAATAAGTGAATTTGGCAAAACAGCAGGATACTAAGTCAATATTCAGAAATTGAAGGCATTTTTGTACCCCAACAATGAAATATCAGAATAAGGAATCAGAAAAAAAATCCCATTTGGTATAGCAACAAGAAAAAGAAAGTACCTAGGAATAAATTTTACCAAGGAGGTAAAAGACCTATACTCAGAAAGCTACACCACTCTGAAGACAGAAATTAAGGAATACACAAATAAATGGAAGCATATACCGTGTTCATGGATGGGAAGAATTAACATCATCAAAATGTCCATACTACCCAGAACAATTTATAGATTCAATGCAATCCCTATTAAAATACCAATGAGGTATTTCACAGATATAGAACAAACATTTCAAAAATTTATATGGAACCATAAACTATGCTGAATAGTTGCAGCAATTTTGAGAAAGAAAACAAAGTAGGAGGGATCATAATACCTGACATCAAACTATATTACAAGGCCACAGTAATCAAAACAGTCTGGTACTGGCATAAGAACAGACATATAGATCAGTGGAACAGAATAGAGAGCCCAGAAATAAACCCATGTTTCTACGGTCAATTAATATTTGACAAAGGGGGCAGAAGCATAAAATGGAATAAAAATAGCCTCTTCAACAAATGGGTTGGGAGAACTGGACAGCTACATGCAAAAAACTGAAATTCGACCATCAACTTACACCATACACAAAAAATAAATTCAAGATGGATAAAAGACTTAAATATAAGTTTTGGCACCATAAAAGTCCTAGAGGAAAATATAGGCAGGAAACTCTCAGATATTCCACAGAGCAATATTTTCACCAATATGTCCCCTAGAGCAAGGGACAAAAAGGAAAGAATAAACAAATGGGACTTCATCAAAATAAGAAGGTTCTGCACGGTTAAAGAAAACATCAGCAAAATGAAAAGGGAACCAACCATATAGGAAAATATATTTGCCAATGATACCTTGGACAAGGGTTTGATCTCCAAAATATATAAAGAACTGACAAACTCAGGACTCCCCTCAGGAAGACAAACAATCCAATTAAAAAATGAGCAAAGGACCTGAACAGACACTTCTCCAAAGAGGACACACACAGGGCCCAGGGACATATGAAAGGATGCGCATCATCACTAGCCATCAGAGAAATGCAAATTAAAAGCACAATGAGATACTACTTCACACCAATCAGAATGGCTGTCATAAACAAATCAACAAGCAACAAGTGCTGACGAGGTTGTGGAGAAAAGGGAACCTTAGTACACTGTTGGTGGGAATGCAGACTGGTGCAGCCACTGTGGAAAACAGTATGGAATTCCCTCAAAAACCTAAAAATGAAACTGTCATTTGACCCGACAATTCCACTGCTGGGATTATACCCTAAGAATGTTGAAACACCAATTCAAAATAACCTATGCACCCCAGTGTTCATAGCAGGACAATTTACAACAGCCAAGTGCTGGAAGTAACCTAAATGCCCATCAGCAGATGAGTGGATCAAAAAATTACGGTACATGTACACAGTGGAACACTACACAGCAGAAAGGAAGGAAGAAAGAAAGGGAGGAAGGAAGGAAGGAAGGAAGGAAGAAAGAAAGGAATGAAGGAAGGGAGAGAGAAAGAAAGAGCTACTACCCTTCACGACAGCATGGATGGAACTGGAGAGCATTATGCTAAGTGAAATAAGCCAGGGGGTGAAAGAAAAATACCATATGATCTTGGCTATAAGTGGAACCTAAACAACAAAACAAACGTGGAAGGAAAATATAACCAGCAACATTGAAAGAAAAAACAAACAGACAGTAATGAGAGGGAAGGAGAGACGTGGGTAATGGGGAAAAGAAGGGGAAGAGTCAAATCAAGGAACATATATAAAGGACCCATGGACAAAGGCAAAGTGGGGAAGGATTGAGGGTGAGAGGGGTAGGAGAAAATGGTGGTGGGAAAATGGAGACAACTGTATTTGAACAATAAAAAAATATTAAAAATATTCAACAGAGGGAACAAGCACATATCATGGGCTAAAAATCATTTATTCAATAAATGGTGTTAGGAGAACTGGACAAATATGTGCAGAAAAATGAAAGTAGACCACCTTACACCACACAGAAGAATAAATTCAAAATGGATGAAAGGCTTAAATGTTAGACCCAAAACAATGAAAATCCTAGAAGAAAACATAGGTAGCAAAATCTCAGACATTGTTCATAGCAATATTTTATCAGATATATCTCCCCAGGCATGGGAAACAAAAGAAAAAATAAACAAATGGGACTACATCAAACTAAGAAGTCGGTCTTGAAGGAAAGGAATAATAAAAAAAAAAAGACTGTCAGGGGACTGCTTCTTAACCTTTTGCTAAGATCAAGTGCAATATCTGTCCTCAGTTTAATACCTGATATGTCCTTTATCCAAGTACAACATATTAAATGAATTTTCGGAATTAAGAGATGGAATAAGAGCATGTTCTGTCCACTCCACACATCAACCTGGTATTACAGCATTTTCAGGAATGGTATACACACACACACATGCATAGACTGTCAGCTGATTTTTCAACAGAAACTTTGTAGGCCAGAAGGGGTTGCAAGAAATTTTCATCCCTCGTTTGGTCGCTCAGCTGGTTAGAGCATTGTTCCACTATGCTAAGGTTGTGGGCTCAATCCCAAGTCAGGGTACATGCAAAAATCACCATAAATCATCTTTGCATGAATGCATAAATAAGTAGAACAAGAAATTGGTGTTTCTCATTCTCCCTCTCTCTAACAAAAAATCAATCAATAAAAATTTTGTTAAATATAAAGAAAAAAAAGGAAATATTTAGAGTGATGAAAGCAAGGGCCTATAACCAAGATTACTCTATCCAAAAAAACTATTATTTAGAACTGAAAGACATATAAAGAGCCTCACAGACAAGAAAAAGCTAAAGGAGTTCAACACCACCAAAGTAGTATTACATGAAATGTTAAAGGGTCTTCTTTAAGAATAATACGAAAAAAAGGTAAAAAATATGAACAATAAAATGGCAATAAATACATGTCTATCAACAATTGAATCTAAAAAACAAAATAAACGAACAAGCAGAACAAAAACAGACTCAAAGATACTGAAAACATCTTGACAGTAACCAGATGAGAGGAAGGCTGGGGGATGGGCGAAAAAGGTGAAGAGATCAAGAAGTACAAATTGGTAGTTACAGAATAGACATGGGAATGCAAAGTACTGCATAGGGAATATAGTCAATAATATTCCAATAACTATGTAGTGTGTCAGATGGTTATGAGATTTAGCAGGATGATCACTTAGTAAGTTATATAATGTCTAATCACTGGGGCGTATACCTGAAATTAAAATAATAATATATGTCAATTGTAATTGGGAAATACAAATGACTTAAAATGGATAAAACTTATGAATTGTTTACTTCTGGAATTTTCCATTTAATGCTTTCAGACAGGTTGACTTCTGGTAACTGAAACCTCTAAAAGCAAAACTGCAAATAAGGGGGACTACTGTATGCATATACCATATTTTGTTTAGACATTCATTTCTTGAAGGACTCTTGGGTCGCTTCTACCTTCTGGCTATTGTGAATAGTTCTGTTATAAACATGGATGTACAAATATCTCTTTGAGACCCTGCTTTCAATTTTTTTTTTTAGTCTGTGTACCCAGAAGTAGAATTACTAAATTATATGGTAATTCTGTTTTTAATTTTAGGCACTGTCATACTGGGCTCTATAGCAGATATTGCATTTTATATTCCCATCAACAGTACGTAAAGGGTCTAATTTCTCCACGTCCTTCTCAACATTTATTTTGTGTTTTTCTTTTTTCAATAGTAGCAATTTTAATGAGTGAGAGATGGTGCACTTTCTTGACCAGTTCATGATTATGCCATTTTAAGAGTGCTTATTTGCCCATTGATTTTCAGTTACTGTTTCATGTCCCATAAGGCCAGCCTTAAAGGAGAGTGCACTAAACAATGTCCATACAATATTTAATAAACCAGATATGTTTAACTCTCCTGGAACATGCTTTAAAAGCCAATTAAGACTAATTTGGTGGTCCATCAAAAATAAAGAATAACCAGAACAAAACTGGTATTTCTAGTGTTTCTGCAAGACTACAGAAACACTAGAAGTCACAGAAAGGAGACAGACCAATAATTTCAAGAAATCAATTTTTCCCCTAGACAATATATGTTTAATAAAAAACGTGGCTGCCCTATTGATTTGTATTGGTTATACAGGAAGGTCAAAATGATCAAATTTGTTGGTACTCATTTTATAAAAATAGAACAGACAAAACTGACCTGTTTCACTGTTTGCTGTTTTCAAGAAATTACTTCCGTTGAAGGTATTATACCTGGGCATTTTATAAGTTTTTAAATTCTCAAAAGGGCCATTAAAAACAATACAGAGTGTGAAAGTTTGAAAGCAATGTTATACTTTCATTGTTTTTCTTGTACTAGCAATGGCTGTGGTAAGCCGTTTCTATATTCTTGTTCATCCCCAAAATGTTAAATGTCATCTCCTGAAACTGAGATTTCTGTGTAGCTGCATATGTGTGAATTGGATGACAGTGCTTAAAACAGTTGACATTCTCGTTGTTCTACTAACACAAAATCCCAACTATGAAAAAAAACTGGGTTCCACTCTCCAAGATCAAGTACTGCCAGAGGCATTACATTTCCAGACTTAAAGAAGGACTAGTAGTGCCTCATTGTTTTCAACTGGAGCAAGCTTGCCAGAGACAGCGTCTGTTTCACATACAAAACAGGACGACCTACTTTCCTGTGCCTCTGTTTTTATCTACACAAATCTGTACCACCAGCATTCCTGACAGAAGGCTCCTGGCTATGAATCTTGTAAAATATCCACCTTCTTAAGAAAAATTACTTGGCAGTAGATTAGTAGAAGTTTGCAGGTTAGTCACCCAGAAAGAAATAAAAGTTAAGTAAAATGAAAATGGTTTGGGATTAAAAGCGGTGCCTTTGAACTCAGGCAGCCTTGTCCAGCTGCACTGTTTCTATCAATTAAGTTCCTCAAGCAAGTGCTTTCTTCCACCCAGAGCTTTCAAAGAATGTTCTACTCTACAAAATGTTAAGTCTTTCATGTGCAAAGTTCCTTCTCAGTGAAGGGTGTAATCAAGTTGTTTGTTGTTGTTTTAAAATTTTGATGAAAACACAGAAGGAATCACTGGATTAATTTCTGTAGTTTTGAAAAGAATAGATCTGTATCTGGTTGATGGTAAAAATCTAAAAGCTGAACCCAGTGTCTTGCTATTTTCAAACTCACAGTTTCCAGTATTGAAGCTTTCTGGATCCTTCATGCCCTGAAGGCACAATGTGTAATGATTACAACTTCTGAAAAAGACCGGCCAATATTCTGGCCTAAGGAGCAAAAACCCTGAAACTAAAGACTGGATCAACCAGTATGAGACACAATACCTTGTCTGTTCTGAATAGCAAAAGGAAAGTCACTTGTTAGTATTCACCTCTGCTGTTGCTTTGTGTTCCTTCTATAAAACCAGTTTGTATTTCAATTAGAGGATTTTCTTCCCCCCTCCCATGACTTTTCTGTACAGCTGGTTGCAAATCAACACGTAGATGGTGAATTGCAGAGGCCCATTCTCATCTCCCCTGTCTGATGGAACTGTCTAAACAAAATAAGTCATGAACAAAAACTAAGCACAGATGTTATCTTTAGAATACGCATGCTTTGGACCAAGGCATTCCACTATGTGAGGCTCAAGTCATAAAATTATCTTAACGAGACTACCTCAGTCATTCTGTTATAGAATCCTCTGGCTTCTGGAGACCTTCTTTATCCCTCTCATTCACATAATGGTTGCTTTTCAGGACTAAATCTAGTTTTAAAGGGAGGAACACTAGTCCTATACTGTTCTTCGTAGGGGACTTCAGACATTTTCCACTAAGCGTTCTGTTAAGACGGAATGTATGTGGGATCTCAAAATGCAACCTTTTTAGTATTTTGTGAAATGGAGCCCTTTTTGTGGAAAAAAAAAATAACCCCAAGACATCTCCTTATATAAAATAAAAGTTTGGTCAAAAGAAAGGTGTGGGGGTGAGGAGATTGAGATCAAGAATTAGAACTTCCTGGAAAAGAGGTTCATGATTTCTCGTCGTACCACTTCCCAGTTAAAACAGTTCATGGAAGAACCTTGGTGTAATGCAACTCTCTTCACAAATTCTGTCCTAGCAACAGATTTTAAAACTATTTCAACATAAACATCCATTGGTTATTTAAAGTTTCTCTAGGAAAAGGTAAACAGGATAGGTTTTCAACACAAAAACTCTCTCTACTTCACATAATTGTAATATATTTGTCAAATAAAAAAAGGGAGGAAATGGAAAATAACCACAGTGGGCTTGTTAATCATCTGATAGCTTCAGAAAGGACCCAGCCTTCTTTGAGTACCAGCGGGGCAAGTGCTAGTATAGTGATGGGCTGTCACTATAAAAACCTTGGTTAGAAGTCTCAGTAGAACATCGTTGAACTGCCTGTGCAGCAGTTGGAACTGCTTTCCCTCAGCAACCAGGGTATTAGGTAACCCCTTGCCTATGGCCCTCAGGTAACTAAAAGCCTGACAGGTCTCACTCACAATTCTTTTTTACTGTGGTCTTGTTGGGTCAAATGAAGGCCATAGGCTTGTGTGTTAGATGCTCATTTTTGTTTTGATAAATTAAGTTATCTTGAAAAACATGTAAGAAAAAAGGGGAAAGAATGAAGGAGAGGGAGATGGAAAAGACGCAAAGACAAAAGGAGGAAAGAGAGAGAGAGAAAGAAAAAAAAAGGAAAGAGTCTATCAGGCATATCAGGAATCATGCCAAGTTTCAGGCTTTTGAAATTTGAAACACATGAATGCCACGCCTTTCAAACTCAGGTATACTGTAAGGAACTATTTGGCTAGATCATGGCATTGTTAATCTGGCAAAGAAAAGAGGATGTTTGCTAAATAGAAGATCAATAGTGGGTACTAGACTATGCAGTGCTCCAAGTAAACTGTGAGGAGTGGGGATTGATCCAAAGCTTCTGAGTTGGCAAAGGAGGGATGTCTTTGACTGCCAAAGGTCTTTCCAAGGCTGGGTTCCCTGAACTGGCTGTCAGAAAATGCTGTCTCAATTTTCGCTTTTTGTTTTAATGTCCTGCTTAGTTGAAAAGGCACAAATTACTAGAAGACCAAAGTTTACATACTTAAGTCATTCACAATCAAAAGAGATTATTCATAGTAGTTGACACTTAATAAAAGTGAAAACAATGCCACCTCTTCACACACTTGTTCCATCCAGTTATAAAGTCATAAACTTAAATGTGCGAGGCAAGGACAATTTTTAAAACTCAGAATTTTATAGAAATAGAAGTAATTTTGTTGATGAAGGTATAATAATCTCATTCACTGAGGTATTTGCTTCTAGAAATGGAGAGCAGCTCTCAGAATAGATAATTTACGAAAAGAGTTTGTCTACTCACAAGCTTGCTGAAATGGCAGGTAACATTCTCA